GAGTAGAGTAGAGTAGAGTAGAGTAGAGTAGAGTAGAGTAGAGTAGAATAGAATAGAATAGCTTTAACAGATAACAGACAATCAGAGTTGGAAGGGACCTTGTAGGTCATCTAGTCCAACCTCCTGCCCAAGCAGGAGACCCTGCATCATTTCTGACAGATGGGAGTCGAATAGAATAGGATAGGATAGGATAGGATAGGAAAGGAAAGGAAAGGAAAGGAATAGAATAGCTTTAACAGATAACAGATAATCAGAGTTGGAAGGGACCTTGTAGGTCATCTAGTCCAACCCCCTGCCCAAGCAGGAGACCCTGCAGCATTTCTGACAGATGGGAGTTGAATAGAAGACAAGACAAGACAAGACAAGACAAGACAAGAGAATAGGACTTCTTTATTGGCCAAGTGTGATTGGACACATAAGGAGTTTGTCTTTGGTGCATAAGCTCTCAGTGTACATAAAAGAAAAAATAAAATACATTCATCAAGAATCATAAGACACAATACTTTGTGACAGTCATAGGTTACTAATAAGCAATCAAATCATACATAGGTTACTAACACACAATTGAATCATACTAGTAAAACAAAAGAAACAATATAAATTGTAAAGATGCAAGCAACACGGTAATAGTCCTAAGGGGGAAGAGATAGGTAATAGGAATCTGTCTATGTCTCTTTTCATCCTGGGACGAACGACACAGTCTTGGGAAACCAATCGGCAGGTACAAAGGAGGCAGAATCCCAGAGCCGATGGCCGAAGTCTCCAGAAATCTTGCTCCGTGGCAGGAGGCAACCCAGGGGGGCATATCAGGTGGATTTAGGCAGAATATCAAAAAGGAGTAACAATTTCAAAGGCTGAGATCAGGTGGTGTTAAAGACCTTCTGGCAACCATCTCACAAATGAATTGTTTTCTTTAGTGCAGAGGTCCCCAAACTTGGCAACTTTAAGACTTGTGGATTTCAACTCCCAGAATTCTCCAGCCAGCTCCCATTCTGGGAGTTGAAGTCCACAAGTCTTAAAGTTGCCAAGTTTGGGGACCCCTGCTTTAGTGTACTGGTGTGATTCTGGCCCTGATGACTATTTGTGGTACATTTATCCTGCAACACAGAGAATGATTTAATTTGGCACCAACTCACCAATCACCGCCAGGATGAGGAACAAGAAAGCGCCAGAGAGGTACAGCTTGTCTGGACCGAAAAGTTGGAGCATCTTCCAAAGGGTGGCCTTGTCTTCTTTTTTCCGGGACTCCTTGGTGCTTTGCCCTTCTGCCAGGATCCCCCAGAGGAGTCGGGAGAAGCCCACCGCCCCATAGATTGCCAGCCACCAGGACCAAGCGGCCGAAGAGACCAGGAGGGGAGGGTCCCCCAGCCAGGGTCCCACCAGCAGGTACAAAGGGGGCAGGATGCTGACAGCGGCCACCGTGGAAGAGGACACTGGGGAGGTCCCACCCACGGAGAGCAGGCCCCGGGCCCCCCAGAGAACCACCAGCCGTAGAGTGGCCTCCAGCCAAGCCGCTGTAACCCCCAGGGGGACCATGGAGGGGCCCCAGTCGGCCAGCAAGGAGAGCAGGATGCGGTCGCAGAGAAGCAGGGGAACAGCCCGAAACACGACAGGGCCCAGCATCTTGATAACGGTCTCTGGGGAGAGAGGAAGGGATTACTGGTTATGGGAATCAGGGGATTATGGATTTAAGAGGAGGAGGGGAAGAGGGGGAGGGGGAGGGAGAGGACAAGAAGGAGAAGGAAAAGAAGGAGGAGAAAAAGAGGAGGAAGAGGAAGAAGAGGAGGAGGAAGAGGAGGAGGAGGAGGAAAAAGAGGAGGGAGAAGGAGAAGAGGAGGAAGAGGAAGAAGAGGAGGGAAGGAGGAGAAGGAGAAGAAGGAGGAGGAAGAAGGAAAAAGGAAGAAGAGGAAGAAAAAGGAAGAAGAGGAAGAAGAAAAGGAAGAAGAGAAGGGAAGCAGGAGGAGGAAGAAGGAAAAAGGAAGAAGAGGAAGAAGAGGAAGAGGAAAAGAAGAGGAAGAAGAGAAGGGAAGCAGGAGGAGGAAGAGAAGAGGAGGAAGAGGAGGAGGACAAGTGGAAGAAGAGGGGAGGAGGAGAAGGAGGAGAAGAGGAGGAGGGAGGAAGAAGAGGAGGGGAGGAGGAGAAGGAGAAGAAGAGGAGGAGGAAGGAAAAGGAGAAGAAGAGGAGGAAGAGGAAGGAGAAGGAGAAGAGGAGGAGGAGGAAGGAGAAGAAGAGGAGGAGGAAGGAGAAGGATAGAAGGAGGATGATTTTGGAGGAGGATCAACTGCAGAAGGCCTTTGGCCCTTCAATTCAACTAACATTAAACTCTTACCACCCAAGCTCCTGCATGTAATCAGCTGACTTCCCAGCAAAGGATTCCTTGGCTGCAGCCTAACTGTTCATTCTGAGTGCAGGTCGGGGCAATTTCAGGAAAGATCAAATTCACAATAATCGAGGCATTTATTTATTTTTTTGTTACAGGCCACTTTTCTGCGCATTTTAACTCTGCGTTCTCCGGTCCCACAGGCACCCCAAGCCCAGCCCCCCCTTCCCCCCCTCGTGAAGGCCGAAATCATGCGTGACTGACTTCCTCGGGAAGAAAAGCATTGGTAACTCTCGATCGGGTTCTTTAGGGCTAGTGAAGGATTTGAACCCCGCTCCCATTCTCCGGATCAGAGCCGCGGCGCGAAAGAGGAAACCAAATCCCCCCCCCCCCCCCCCAAAAAAAAATAACCCCCCCCCAAAGCCGGGCCGAAACGCGCCCGGGTTAGTTCTTTCAAGAAGAGAGAAATGGTGTAGGGTCTCCCGCTTGGGCGGGGAGGGGGGGTTGGACTAGATGACCTACAAGGTCCCTTCCAACGCTTGTTATCTGTGATGAATATTGGCGGGGCAGGAGTCACTAGGCCGCTACTTAAAAGGAGGAGATCAGACCGCGCTTCCCCGTGATCCGCACACCCAACATGAGCAGCCCTACTTGGATGGGAATGATGGGGAGTGGAGTTCCCCCTCCCACCTCCGGAACCGCTAAGTCGGCCAGATCAACGCAACCCTCCGCCCTTTGTCGAGTTTCTCACCCCGGGAAACTCCTTCCATCGAGGGCGTTTGGGTTCTTCTCGATCCGAAGCCTCGTTTTAGCCGGGCTGGGCCGACTTTACCTCCGTCCCTCCGTCCTCTAAATGGGCCTTACCCGCCGCCGCCTCCGCAGAGCCGAAAATCCCCCCCCACACACACACAAAGCTTTTGCTTTCGATTTCACATAGGAAATGCCGCTTTCCTTCAAAGTGTCTTCCAGCACAGTGACCGCCAGATGGCGCCGGCGTTCCGCTGTGGAAGCCTAATTAAGCCACCGACCTCTCTCTCTCTCTTGTGTTTTCCCTTCACACCCGTGATTTCCTGAATCGGAGTCGGTTGAGAATAAATAAAGGCACAGTTGGCTTTTCTTTACGTGTCATATATTGATTGTGCCGTCTTAAATCCTGAATGGGGCTGGAGTCGTGCGTTGCGTTATTCATCATCACCGGCGGCAGTCCTTGACTGACGATCAAAATGGATTCCACAGTTTTCTGTTTTTTTTATTTATTTATTTTGATTTGTCAATCACTTACTTACAAGATAATAGGTATAAGTATATACTGAGTTATGAATACACAAAATGGGTACATATAAGAAAAATAAAAGAAACAATAGGACAGGGACGGCAGGCACGTTGGTGCGCTTATGCACGGCCCCTACAGATCTCTTAGGAAAGGGGTGAGTGAGGTCAATAGTAGATAGTCTAAGGTTAAAGTTTTTGGGGTTTGGGGAAGAAACCACAGAGTCAGGGAGAGTATTCCAGACATTGACCACTCTGTTGCTGAAGTCGTATTTCCTGCAATCAAGTTTGGTGCGATTATTTATTTATTTATTTATTTATTTATTTGATTTGTCAATTGTTTCCAAGATAATAAGTATAAGTGTATACATAGTTGTGAATACATGAAATGGGTATATATAAGAAAAATAAAAGAATAGAGAAACAATAGGACAGGAACGGTAGGCACGTTGGTGCGCTTATGCACGCTCCCTGCAGACCTCTTAGGAAAGGGGTGAGGTCAATGGTAGACAGTCTAAGGTTAAAGTTTTTGGGGTTTGGGGAAGAGACTACAGAGTCGGGTAGAGTAACCTTGAGTTTGTATCTATTGTGTGCTCTTGTGTTGTTATGGTTGAAGGTGAAGTATTCATTGACAGGTAAGTCATTGCAATGTATGATTTTATATACCATACTTAGATCAGACCGAAGACGGCGTAATTCAAGGTTTTCTGGGTCTAGAATTTCAAGTCTGGTGGCATAAGATATTCTGCAACTAGTAGAGGAGTGGAGAACTCTTCTTGTGAAATATTTCTGGACTTTCTCAACTGTTAATATCAGATACGTAATGCGGGTTCCAGACTGATGAGCTGTATTCAAGTATTGGTCTAGCAAATGTTTTGTATGCTCTAGTTATTAGTGTGATATTACCAGAGGAAAAGCTATGTAAGATTAGGTTAACAACTCTTAATGCCTTTTTGGCTATATAGTTACAGTGGGCTCTAGCACTTAGATCATTAGAGATGAGTATTCCAAGATCCTTTACAGTGCTTGGATCATCAACAAGGTCATGACTATTCAGCTGTTGCTGAAGGAGCCATTGATTAAATGAATTTGGCCCCATTTTATGACCATTCGTTCCACAGCTGTTAAGTGAATCACTGCAGTTGGGTGAAGTGAAACTGGCTACCCCTTTGGCTTTGTCAGAAGGTCGCCAAAAGGGATGACACACTGCAACCATCACAAATATGAGTCAATTGCCAAGCATCTGAATTTTGATCACGTGATGAATAATGGATGGAAACTGAACAAGGAGAGATTCAACCTGGAAATAAGGAGAAACTTTCTGACAGTGAGAACAATCAACCAATCGAACAGAAGTTGCCCTCGGAAGTTGTGAGAGTGTCATCACTTGAGACCTTCAAAAGAGATTGGACTGCCATCTGTCAGAAATGGTGTAGGGCCGTGAGGGTGAACCTATGGCATGCATGTCACAAGTGGCACGCAGAGACATTTGTGCCGGCACGTGAGCCACAGGCAAACTTACCTCACTGCACATGTGTGCGCCTCACAGATGATTTTTCTGCTGGTTTGAGGCCTTTTTCGGCCTCCCAGAGGCTTGGGAAAAGCCTCTGCTAGGCTTTTCAGGTTGAATAGGCCCATTTCGTCATTTCTTCTAATACCGGAAGTGATGAAAATGGGCGTATTATTCGGCCTTGCCTTGCTTTGGGGGGTGCTTTGGGAGTGACCTTTCTCTGCGGACCACCAAAATTTTCTTGCGGACCACTAGTTGTCCCCGGCCCAATGGTTGGTGACCACTGCACTAAACAAACCGTTATAAGTTGAGGACTACCTGTACACTATGTCATGGCTTCCTTAAGCCGGGGTTATTGAAGTAGGCACAACTTGCTGTCCTTCCCGGTGCCCTTTGGATAATCACGCATACCTTAGGCATCTCTGCAGTGGACTACTGCAGTGCAGTCTACATGGGACTGCCCTTGAACCTAGAAGTTGCAGCCGGTCCAAAATGCAGTGGCCTGGACAGTAACAGAACAACAGAGTTGGAAGGGACCTTGTAGGTCATCTAGTCCAACCCTTCATCCCAAGCAGGAGACCTTACCCCATGTCCGACAGATCAGTCCAGTGATGAAGCTCCCACAATTTCTGAAGGAAGCTGTTCCATTGGTTGATTGTTTTTATAGTCAGAAAGTTTCTCCTTATTTCTAAATTGAATCTCTCCTTGTTCAGTTTCCATCCATTACTCCTTGTTTGGCCTTCGGGTGCTTTAGAAAATAGCTTGACCCCTTCCTCTCTGTGGCAGCCCCTCAAATATCAGAAGACTGCTATCATGTCTCCCCTGGTCCTTCTCGTCACTAGACTAGCCAAGCCCAGTTCTTATAATTGTTCTTCATATGTTTTAGTCTCCAGTCCCCTAATCCTCTTTGTTGCTCTTTGCACTTTTTCTAGAGTCTCAACATCTTTTTTATAATGTGTTGACCAAAACTGGATGCAGTACTCTAGGTGTGGTCTTACCAAGGCTTTATAGAGTGGCATTAGTTAATCTTTAGAGGATTTGGAAGTCAGGAACAAATTATACACAATTAAAAACACATCTTTATAATCATGGTTCTTCAGGGATCCGCATTTAGTTTTCCCCAAAGAATCCTACTCCTTGCCTCTTGTTCTTTGATCCCTTGCCAATCCTCTCTGCAAACCTGCATTCTATTTTCAAACATTGATTATTATTTTTTAAAGTTGCAGTTCAGTGTTTCTCACTTGCTTGAACTCACCTGGAGTGACTCTTGAGCAATTTTGCCAGGATATTCTTGTGGGTAGAATCTGTGGAGAAAATTCCCTGTTTAGTGCAGCCTGGGAATCGGGGGGGGGGGTGGTGGTAGTAGAAATAGAAATCTGAGCTCCCTCTAAAGATTCAAAACAGGAATTTTCAATAATACCGATGTTATTTTTTCACAATCCAAGTGATATATTCCCGTTCAGACATCCGTAGGAAGAAAAATCCGGTCTGGTTCCAAACCAGGAGAAAAGCGCTGGAAATAAAATGGATGCCGATTGGAACGGACTTTGTTTATTGATGAGCACAACCGACAAAACTGGCACAGCTGACAAAATGGCTGAATAAGCAGAAGGGATCTTTATAGGTTTCTGTGACTTCGAAGTTTGAACTGTGCTTGGGATTGTGCAGTGAAGGGGCTTTTGTGTCTTTTGCTATTTCACTGGTGGTGAGTTAATCTTATTAAGGCCCTAAAAAGGTCGTGTCCTGTTCCAGTGGTGCGATTCAAATAATTTAACAGTCAGTTCTCTGCCCTAATGACCGGCTGGGTGAGTGTGGTTGGGTGGGCGTGGCCATAGTGGGCGTGGCCAGGGCGTGTGACAGCACTCAGTCTCCTGCAACATTCTGCCAAACAAAATGGGGGCACAGGGAGGGAGGGGTCTAGTGCACCCCAAGTGCCCCACATGCCCCATTTTGGGCCTTGACAACTTCTTGCACCACCTGGGAGCCAAAACAAACTGTGGGGGAGCCCATGGCGTGCCCCTCCCATGGCTTGTTTTGGGCCTAGTTCAGTGATGGCTAACCTATGACACACATGTCACTTGTGACACGCCGAGGCACTTTGACTGACACGCCTGTTGGTGTGGGGGAAACCTGCACATTTAGAGGCTGCCTGTGCTCTGCTCCAATCCCTGCTCCCTGCTTGTTGCATGGAGGCGTGGTGTCACTGCTGCCGCGAGATCTTTGCAGCAGAGAACCAGCCATAAACTGAGGTTTGACAGTTTCATTACCTCAGGAACGCTACAGGAGGAAAGGAGATCCATGAGGTTCACAGCCCTGTAAGGCGGCCTTCCGATCCCCACATCCTGCACCTGCAGCCCTGAGACCAGGGAGACAAGTTTCACAGCCCTGTGTGATCACCCCAGCCCAGTCCGTCGTAAACCAAATTATTGATATTTCTTGAAGTGACACACGACCCGAGGAAGGCTACACTTTTTCCTGATTTTCGACACACCAAGCTGAAAAGGTTAGCCATCACTGGCCTAGTTGATCTCCTGCACCACCTTGGGAGCCAAAATGGGCCATGGTGGGGGGGCATGGTGCGTCCCCCTGTGCCCCGTTTTGGGCCTAGTCAGCCTGCTGCACTAACCTGGGAGCCAGAACGGTGTGGTGGGGGACGGGATGGGGCAGGGCCAGCCAGTAGTGGGATTTATCAGTTCACTGAACTGGGCATAAAATTAACATCCTGTTTGACCGAACCGGTGCGAACCAGCCAAAGCCCACCTCTGGTCCTGTTCTTAGAATTTGGGTGGAGGAATGTAAATTTTTAATTCCATCAGCTGGAGCTGAAGGTGTTTTATTTGTGAATAGATTGTCCCAGTCTTCCTGAATGAATTACAAAATATCCATCTCTAAAGATTTCAGGCATCTGCTGGAGTTGTATGCAGGAAACGGGTTGTTTTCTGCCTTTAAGAACATGTTTTTTCCCATTTCTTCTTTGGGGATAATATTCTGCCTCTTTTAATATTTCCCGAAAATATTTCATTCTTAGGGGGAGGGGGGCTTCCTTCTGGATTCTTATGAGGTCACATAGGGTTACATAGCTGGCTCTATAGGCAAAAGGGGAAATGCAAATACTAGG